CATAGTGTTCACCCATATATCTATTATTGGCTTTAGCATAACGTGTGGAAATCATACTGACTCCTCCTCTGATTGCACTTTCTATGAACAAATGCATGTCAATATCTTGAAATAATTGTAATTTTATACCAGTCATTCTAAGACAGGCCTCCCATGTTAATCCAGGAAGTGAATACATATGTACGGAGTCAAGTTTGTAATCCTTTAAACACAGGTCTCTAAATGTCTCAAACACATCAGCCAGTAGCAATACATCTGTTTTAAGGTATAAATCATGATATTCTTGTAAATTATTTATATTAAAATGGGCCCAGACATTTTTAGCATGTTCGTATTCATTGGGAGAGATATGTTCTTTAGTTAGAGTGCTGTAAAATGCTTCAATTGGTGGTAGAGACTCTGCAAACTTATCTGGTCCCGTCATATATTCATAGGGAAATACGCCTTTACGTTGTAGTAGTGGATTGTCTATGAATCTAAATGTATTTAAATTGGAAGCTAATTTGTATAATGGAAGGGATAGAAAGTTATAGGAATCCAAAAATACTAAATCATCAACTGAGAATGAAATGTACTTTTCCATATCCTTGGCTATGCAATTTAATTTACGATTAAACTTTCCCAAGTGTTGCATTATTAAATGACCATCATAATTTTTTAAGTTATGGAAGAATACTGGGATTTTCTTTGTTACTTTATAGTTTAAATTACAATCATTGTGGGCAGCTCCACGGTAGTGCCCATTTGAATGACAATGATCACGTACCCTATCAAAATATAGGGGTTTTTCACAAATGTGACAATGCGTTGAGTTTTGGAAAGATACCTCTTGCTCTGGAGTCATTACAAGGGGAATATATATCGCCATTTGACTTTTAATGAAGTCATAAGTCTCAAACAACCTTTTGAAAAACATGTCCATAACATTTTCACCACTATATAACTCTTCAGAAATAATCTTAGAATCTCTCACGACAACAAATGCAAATCCAGATGGAGTATGCTTGTTAGAGTTTATAAAGCATTCAAAATCTGCATAAATCACATATGGAGCTTTAATTTGATATTTATAGTTTTTAAATTGTAATGTATCTTGTTTAGACATTTCCACTCGTTGAGAATCAAAGTTTTTACAATATGTTGCATGACGCTCCAATTTATCATTAGTGTAAAAATGTTGTAAACACAACTTGCAAAAGTGCTTCTTATTGTTATTTTTTGTAGAGTGGAGCATTAACATATTAAAATCACGAATTAAACAGTAATGTGATTTACGACCTTCTTGTAATAATAATAAATCTATGTGAGTATTTCTATTTAGTTTGGTTGTTCTTAATGGATATACACATTTAAGGTCTTCAACTCCAAATACATTGACACTTATATTATTCTGTCTTTCGAATTTATCTATATCAGATATTTTTACGGGATATTTTATATTTGTCATATTTAACTGTGTTTCATAGGGTGTATAGTTAGAGACTCTTTTAGCATTTTTATTTTTAGAATTCCTTGGATATAAAGCTGCTAAAATTGACCAAAGGAAGCATTTATTGTCAAAATTTCTTATATTTAGAACTGCTTTTGTCAATTGAATACATTTTGGTGTTGGAATATATGACTTTGGAGTTAGGGGCTTATATTTGTAAACATGTAACTGCCAATATTTAGTATGGTCATATATCCATCCACTGCCTTGGGCTTGATATTTATGAATCGACGCATCAATCTTTAAAAGTGCATTTTCTATTTGAGACTTTAAATCTCTCTTCTCAATGGTTAGGATGGTAAGGCTTCTAAAATCTGCAATACATTCTTTTTCATTAATTAATTTTCCATTTTGATCTATTGTATATTTAATAAATTTGATTCTCCTTATTAAAGTCCATTTTATTGGCAGAGGACAAGACTGAAGAGTATTTTTAAGTTTAGTTTTAATCAATTCACCAACAAATTTAATCATTGTATATGGACATTTGTTGCAAGAATTTACATGTCTTTTAAAATGACCAACAACATTTCTTTTACAGAAACTACAAGTCTTGTGAGTTTGTAATATATGAGATTTTAGAGCTATGTTACTATCACAGATTAAATTACAAACTTTACACAGTTTTACCTTCATTTGATGTTTTAGCTTGTAGTGGCGAATCAGATTGCTTTTTTTGGAGAGCGACGCAGAGCAATGTTGACATGTAGTATTCATTTTATATATGTAGCTAAAAACCTAGGTTGGCATCTTCTATATAGTAGAAATTACATTTTGAGAATTTGCAATTAATGAGAAATAATAATTAAAATCAGAATTATAAATTTAAATATATGTTTTAATATTCAAAACAATTTTATACAGTAAAATTTGACAATTGCAATTTTCAAAATCAAAACTAAATCTTAAAAGTTAAATTTGTTAATTAAAAAATACTTTTTAGCAATTCAGAATGTTGAGTTTACATTTATACAGTGTGTGTACGATAGGAAAGACTACCTATGTTAACTCTGTGAGTGAAATTTGGCTAAGTGTTAAAAAATCAGGACTTAGTAAATTTTTGTATAGTAGAAGTCACATGAAAAACGACTAAGTGTAATTGGAGAATAATAATCTAAGTGTTAAAGAAAAAACTTTGTAAATTTTTTCTAAGTTCAAAAATTGGGACTTTAATGTTTAAGTTTGACTGTCACAATTATATTGAGAAAAACTCTTTAGTAGAAATTACATTTTGAAAATTTCAATTAATGAGAAATAATAATTTAAATCAGAATTCTAAATTTAAATATTCAAAACAATTTTATACAATAAGATTTAACAATTGCAATTTTCAAAATAAAAACTAAATCTGAAAAAGTTAAATTTGTAAATAAAAAATACTTTATAGCAATTCAGAATGTTGAGTCTACATTTATACAGTGTGTGTGCTATAGGAAAGACTACCTATGTTAACTCTGTGAGTGAAATTTGGCCAAGTGTTAAAAAATCAGGACTTAGTAAATTTTTGTATAGTAGAAGTCACATAAAAAACGACAAAGTGTAATTGGAGAATAATAATCTAAGTGTTAAAGAAAAAACTTTGTAAAATTTTTCTAAGTTCAAAAATTGGGACTTTAATGTTTAAGTTTGACTGTCACAATTATATTGAGAAAAACTCTTTTGTAGAAATTACATTTTGAAAATTTCAATTAATGAGAAATAATAATTTAAATCAGAATTCTAAATTTAAATATATGTTTTAATATTCAAAACAATTTTATACAATAAGATTTAACAATTGCAATTTTCAAAATCAAAACTAAATCTTAAAAGTTAAATTTGTAAATAAAAAATACTTTATAGCAATTCAGAATGTTGAGTCTACATTTATACAGTGTGTGTGCTATAGGAAGGACTATCTATGTTATTTCAGTGAGTGAAATTTTAGCTAAGTTTTAAAAATCAGGACTTAGTAAATTTTTGTATAGTAAAAGTCACATGAAAAACGACAAAGTGTAATTGGAGAATAATAATCTAAGTGTTAAAGAAAAAACGTTATACATTTTTTCTAAGTTCAAAAATTGGGACTTTAATGTTTAAGTTTCACTATCACAATTGTATTGAGAAATACGCTAAGTGTCAAATAATAAATACACAAACAGGCAGTCACTTAACTAAGTATCATTTCCACACAAGCAAGCGACGAAGCGTCCACACCACTGCAATTAATTATGCAGACAGACCAGTCTCAGGTGTTCTATTGGATGCCAGGACAGGGGCGTGGCGCCAGATGTCTAGACAGGTCCACAGTGCCGACGCCTTCCACTAGCCCAGCCCCGCATGTGCAAAAAAAAACTTACCAGAGGAGGAGGAGCTAGAGACCAAGATGGTTGCGCTGCAACGGAAGGGGACTGACTGAAGGAACCGGTTTTCCCCGCCTTTTTATATAATTCCCAGCAAGTAAATTCTCTACAATTCATAAAATAATTTTTAACAATTGCAGTGTATTTGTAAAATTTATTTTTAACAATTTCTGGAGAAAATTAAAATATGAAAGTACAAATTTAATTTGACACCTGTCACCTGTCATCACATCAATCAGGTCAATGTGTCTGGCGCCAAGGACCTGTCTAGACATCCTACGCCGCCACGCCCCTGTCTCGGTAGCGAATAGAATGTCTGGGAGTGAGCTGTCTGCATAATTAATTGCAGTGGTGTGGACGCTTCGTCGCTTGCTTGTGTGGGGTTCACCGAACCTTGGCGGAGGTACCCGAAGTAGCCTTGATGTGTTGTTAGTGTCGCTGTTGAAAGTGAGAAGACCGGTCGCACTCAAGGCCAGCAGCATGCCCGAGTTTACGCAGTAGTTATATATCGATGGTTTACGCACAAACCTCGCACTGTCAAGTTGATGATTTTGAGAATATACATGTGAATGTATGTGGATTTGAAATAGTAATGAAGTTGTACAATGGTATTGAACATGTATATAGGGGTATATTGGTCGAGAGCAGGATTTTTGGAATTAGTGGCTAAAAAAAGCTCACCATGTTATTCTTATGGGGAAAAACGCCCCAAGTGACGTCATATTCTTCTATTGTCACTACTTCCAACATAAGGCCTCAATGATCGATGTGGCAACTTCACACTCACCAGCCAATTGCCATGGTACAGTTTTTAACAAACGTGTAAACTTTAGCCTTGCACAGACGCTCCATGTGAATGTGTTACAACCGTTTCTGTAGGCCAGGATTGAAGCGTTGCACTTTTTTCTGCATGGCCTTTTTTGAGGAGGTTATGCTTTTGGTAAGCTATGTAATTGTGGTATAAAACTATAATGATACATTGAATTGTATTAATACAATTAGAGCGTTTCATACGAATAAATAAAACAACACAATAAATACATAATTATATATGTAATTCAGCAGAAAAGAAATACAATCAATGCATTTGTTAAATGGATACATCAACTTAAACGAATAAACTAATGGGGAAAAATTGAATTGTTCAGTTAATTGTATTATGTCCATAGAACTGATTTTCGGGACCGAGTTGGATTTTGATACCAGATCCAAGGAATTTCAAGGCTTGATCAAAGTAGTAGAAAAGTAAGTATACATGTCAAATGCACTTAAAATTGCCATTAAAGAAATAGTATCGCGTAAAGGCTTTGATTAGCTTTTGATCAGTATATTTGCCAGATATGCTGTTCATATATACTAATTTATACTTCAAATCCTATTTTGTATAATGAACATGCCATAAGTTAAATGTTTTACATTTGCCAACACTTCTTAAACGTACGATTGTATGTTATATTTACAAATATATGCTGATAAATTAACAGTGCCATACAAAGCTATTTATTTAGGTAGTCTAAAACGTTCTTACGCAGGAACGTTGTAAATGAAAAATACATTTTTGTTGGTGATTGTGTGTTATTTTGCAATGTCTAGCTATATTGTGTTTATTTCGGCACACTAGTAAACAAGCTTATTAGAATAAAAAATATGTAATTCAAATAACAATTTTGTGGCAGGATTCCCGACTATTTCTCCCAGAGAATGATCAAGCCTTGGCTGAGGGTCGACCCCATTTTTGAGTTTCTATACAGAAAAGAGCTGAAAGAAATGGACAAATTATGGACACAATTTACAGAAGCTCCACTCAAGGTATAAAGCATACTTATGTTTGATTGAATTGTGTATCCAAACCTTTAAAAAAACATCATTCTACTCCACTGAAAAATAGTTATTGTGTTAGAGTTTTAAATGATCTAAAAACAGAGAGCGCAATGACAAAAATTTCAAATCCTGCAAAACTACCAAGATACAACGAGCCTTGGCTGCATGTGCATTTAAACATAGTTCCTGACCGTTGAAAAAATTGTTAAATGTAAGCTAGGTAATTAAGTTTAGTATGAAATGTTAACGAAATATTATGATTTAAAATGTTTGGTGTGTTTCAGGTTGCAAACACCAACCATGCAAACAAAAACAAATCAACGGAAAACGAGAACGAGGAGAGTGAACATGAAGGTAAATATGGTCAATGAACATACAATTCGTTTACTTGAATTTAGTAACTTGATCCAACTGTTAAGTTATTTATTAATGGAAATAAAATATAATATCCTTATTAGTTTAAAAGTAGGTACAAAATATTTCACAGACGTACAAACTCTAAGCTACTACGTACAAAGTTTTGGGTGATTTTTTCAAAAAGCTTTGTACGTAGCTGCATTTTAAATAAGAAATGTAATAGGTTCTTATCGAGTCGTTAAGTCATAATAACGACAAGAGATAGATAATGGAAGATACAAAACTCCGTTTTAAAATAATTTGTTAAGTTAAGTGAATTAAGGAGGATACTTTTACTCACAGTTCTCCAATGTTTTCGTTTGTGATTCTTATTTTATGGACAGAACTGCAACTAATATTTTGGTATTTTAGGTCCTTTAAATCTGATTGATGTATACAGAGAGCTTCAAAAGAAATATCCTCAGTTTACAGAAAGTGATTTGAAAGGTGAAATGGTAACTTTGTATTGTACGGTAAGTACCTTTAAATACACAATACCGACTATGAATGCATTCTATGCCCGTACCTATAAATGGTAGGTCAAAGACTTACTTATTTTATCAAAGATAATTATTGTGTTTAAATTGCTGCTTAATTGGGTAATTAATTTCGGTGTAAACGTTAATTATCATTCGTAATACACAAAAAATAGAGTTATCAATATCTCTTGTATTTAATGACAAATGTAGTTGAATGATTTAACTAAGCAATATTAATTCATTTGCTGTTTTCTTATGTTACTTTTATATGTTATAACTTTCTTATTATTATTTAGTATCTTTAAAGAAGTTTATGTGAAGCTTTGATAAAATAAATAAAATAATCTTTGCGTTAAGCTGGCCGCTTTAATAGGCTACCTTTATTTTATTTATGAATTAGACTAACTACATGGACCAACTACCAACTAACCAATAAAACCAACTACAGGAGTAATCAACTTTACAGTTTTCTCCTTTAGTTTGTTACACTGTGGCAGTTCATGGGGAGATAAAATTAAAATGAAGTTTTAACATTTTAAATCGGTTACAATTATAAGATACGAAACTCAAAAAAACGTCAGTATCCAACCATTAGACTAACACTGAATGTGATCAAGTCCAACCAAATTTACAGTAAAAACTTTACATACTGTCTTTGTATGTTTTAACAGGGTACGGACACTATTAGTCTGACTGTGTCTTCTTGCTTAATGGTTCTCGGTAAACTACAAGACATCCAGGTAATGAACGTAATAGTGTTTTGCATTGTATGACAATCAAAGTGAAATGATTTCCTTTATTCAATTAGATAATCTTTATAACTTTAAGACACTGAAGGGAGATATTAGTTTTGCTATCGATTAAGATCACCTGGTTTTTACGCTAGGTCTATCCTACCCTATCCTATCCTATACTCCTATCCTATCCTATCCTATACGAGCAATGTCTGCCTGTCTGTCATATATCTCGAAATCCAGCGGAAGGATTTTGACAAAATTTTGGAATTAGGGACTTGTAGCCCTAAAAACGTGATTGGCGACAGCCACTACCTCATCGCTACACAACTAATTTGAAAATGTAAAAATTTTACATTGACCTTTAAGGTTGCCAACTAACTACGTTAACAAATTTTGAAACATTTTTGGAATGTAGGGCTTGCAATAGTTGAACGGCAAATGTAGCTTTGTTCCGAAATGTTGAGTAAGAGTGTCCTGAAAGGGTTGGCTGCCAAAATCCCCCTAAAACTGATATGCAATCACAAACATGAGATTTTAATTTATTGAAATTGGGAGTTAAAAATTTTTCACTATTTCTAAATCAGTAGTTCTTTTAGGAGTAGTTGTTGACTATTCCTACAAATTCAAAATGTGTATTGTACATTTAGGAGCGGGTGTACGAGGAGATCACTGAGGTAGTGGGTCAGGACGATGACGTCACGACAGATCACATCAGCAAGATGCAGTATCTGGACCAGGTGTACAAGGAGACGTTGAGGTGGGCGATCATAGTGCCTTACGTCAGCAGGAGAACTACAGAGGATCTGAAACTGAGTACGAAGTGTACTGTTGTAGTTAGACTAAGTACTGGGGCAGGTCTGGGGTTAAAATGGCAAACCAAGGTCCAGATTGTTATGGGTGCGAACATTTAGAAAACTATAATAGCCCTCTTGAGAAAGGAAATTATAATTTCCTCTCGAGAAAGGAAAGCTCCGGAGAGTATCTGTAAATAAAACGACCCTCCACTTTAATCACACACTAGGATACTTTTTTGTTGGATTGTCAATTTGTCCAAATGTTGGATTGGAAAATGGAAAAATTAAAATTATAAAAAAAAACATCTTAACTTGAGCAATAAAAACAATGTAATGAAAAGGTAAACATATAGCAAAAATAGCATATGACAAATACACACAAACATGATAGAGACAGTTCAAGGGAAGAAGTCTTCAACATACCGCCGTTGTCCATCAGCTAATTTACTTTGTGGTTACATGTTAATATTTTGAAATACCAAATTCATAGAATCAACCCTTCGACTTGTCAAAATGTTATTTGTTAAATGTCAACATTTGTTTTATGTAAGACAAATTTAATATTCTCAGAGTCAACGTACTTTGATATGAAAATTAAACAATACTCTTTTTATCGCCAATATTTCTATGTCTATGTAAAAATATGAGTGTTAATATTTTGAAAAATAAAACTATAATTGTTTACAAAACATTTAACTCAAGATTACAAAACTCTAAACCACAGGTAACACATAATGATAAACATAGATTTATATTTAAATGTTTCTACGCAAAATTTCAAACGTTTTAGTTTTAAAAGGTAATCTTTTTGTCAATGTGTTCAATAGAGTATTTAGTGACCATGTATAAAAATGTCTGTATACAGCGTAAAAAAGACTAATTATAAACATCATCAACTTTTGCCACAAACTTTTATTTTTCCAGGCACATGCACCGTCCCAGCGGGTAACTCTGTGGTCGCTTGTCTTGTTGGGCCTCACATGGACCCCAACATCTACCCTGATCCCGACAAATTTGACCCGGAACACTTCTCTCCTGAAAACCCCGCCTCCAGAAACAAACACGCCTTTATTCCATTCAGCACAGGAAGCAGAATGTGCATTGGTAAAGTATTAGCATTGAGTACACACGTATACTCAGTATACAATGGTATTAGCAATATCAGTTTAATTTAATTGTACCAATTCACTAAGCCTCGCGTTCAAATAGTTTTAAAACGTGTGTATTTGTTTTTGAAATTCTTTCTCAGTCTGATAGTTTCCATACAAGTATCCTCACAATTGAAATGCCAATTTAGAATGAAATTTAGAACCTTAATGTAATAATGAAAACCTGTCAATTATAACAAAGGACAAGAGGAGCTCTCATTTGAATCTAATTGGCTCGTTCGTGAGTGCGAGAATAGATTTAAGTTCTGTAACGCAATAATAAATTGTCAAGTTCATTATTGCAAATTTACCAAATGTTGATAATTTAGGAGAATGATACAAAACATCCCTTAACAGCGATTAATTCGAGGCAAGAAGCGAAACTATTGAATTCTTGTCTCACTTGCTTTAATTTTATGTAATAAGAAATAAGGCAGCATTTATTGACTACAGTATGAGCTCCTTCGTTTGAGACTTTTTTCTAAACCCACAACTCTGATCATTTTCTGCTCCTATTTAACATTTTTTTCAAGTGACTTAACAGCTTGACTACTTAGCAGCAGCGTTTACAATTTAAGGAGAAATTCTCAAAAGGGCTATGTTTCAGGCAAAACCTACACTGAAAACCTAGTCAAGACGATGCTAGTTCAGGTCCTCAGAAAATTAAAGGTATCCACGGACCTTGACATTTATAATCTCAAGAAGAAGTACGTAGTCACTCTAGTCAGCAGTGAAGGCTACCCTATCAAGTTTTCACAAAGAACGTGACATTAAAACCCGTAGCTTTAAATTGTCTTGTGATATTACTTTCTTTATTAAAGTCTTGTTATAAGGTGTCTTTTATTTTTGCTACTAACCCTTGTTTGTACTGTGATTTCTTTATAATTTGCCTTTTACTTGGGATAAATTTTCAAGTGTTTACAAGAGTGGTTGTAGTTATTCATTTAAATTACAAATTAGCAACATAATTAATCTAATATGCCATTCTTGTTTTCAATTCTAAGATTTTTTTATATTAACTCAAAACGAGTACTTTTAATATGCGATAAATTACTTTTTTACAGTACATGGTTTTGAAACATATTGTTGTGGTAATTTTTCAATCTTAAACAATTATGTTTAAGTGTTTAGTACCTGGGGACCGAGCCATGGCTCGTTACTACGACCATAGATGAAGTAATATAAAAAACTTCATCTATGCTACGACTATCCGCAGTAATATCCTGATTTTTAGACCAATTCATAAATTACAAGGAAAAAATGTGGTTCGGATTACACTATAAACTGTATGCCCTTTAACAGCTGTGTTTAAGGAACATGTCAGACTTAGTCAGTAACAAAGACTACAAGATCACACCATTCATCCTACACTTATCTCCATTTATACTTGGCTTAAAACCTTTGCATAGTCGCCATTAAAAATTTAAAGTATTGAAGTATAGTTTATTTCTATTGTACCCCTATATCGAGTTACTGTATTTTGTAATTTGCCAGTATACTGTGAATGGCTTGTTATAAACACATTATTATGTTTATTTTTCAACCATAACCATATGTGTTTTATTTAATTTTACAAGACTAAAAAATCTTTTGGTACTGAAAAAATTTCCAATAATAAAAAAATACATATATTTTGCTCTTAATATGAACTTTCTACACCAAAATTATACGTTCGCAAGTATTTTAATTTTAAAACTACCATTTGAGAATAACATGCCTACTGAAAACATGACTCTTTAATGGGTTGAAATTTACTATTTAACCTTAAACCCTGGAAGTTTATAAACCTTTATTCACAGTTTTATAGATGTTAAACACGCCTACCTCGCATCGGAAATATACAAAACCTACAATTATAACCATCTGTATCTTTTTCCATATGTAAAAAAAGATTTCGATAAGATGTTTAAGAAAAAATCTTTAAATTTGACTAATTTAATTAACCCACCCTTACGTAGTTCTAAAACACAGATCATGGTAGCTTTGCACTAACATCGTCTATAGATCAGCTCGAGGGTAACTTACAACAATATAGTGGAGAAAACAGAGCGATTCTTGGCCAAGGACGAACATCACGGGGTGGCAAACAACCCCAGTATTTGTTTGACAGTTGAGTGGCGTGTGGCGAGACTTGTGCTTGGACAATATCTAGGTGGGTGATTTTTTTCTCATATCTTTTGAACAAAAAAATAAGGAAAATGTTTTTCTAAAACCTTAGTTTATCTATAAATTCTTCTTTAATTTGTAGCATAATTAAAGTGCAATAAGAAAAAATTCAATGAATGAACAAACATATATTAAGCTGTTCTTAGGTAAGTTCATCACGACCATTGGTTTGTGAAACAAAATATTTCTAGATTGCTGTTGGAGCATTAATACATTACAATGAGAGGTTATATTGTTTTTTTACAAATTTCGTTTGATTCTCAAAGTGTGATATGACTTGTGTAACTAGTTTGTGCTTGACTTTGACATAGTTAAGAGAAAATAAGATCAATCTATGGATATTGTATATGACTACCAAATCGATTTGAAGATGACGTATTACGATGTGTGCTCTTTGAACACTCAACTTTTCAGAGATCCTGAACAGTAGGAATAATGACTGATATCACTCTAAATATAGAACCCACCTATACACTGTTTCCACTCATCAATTAGTGTTTTACTTGACGAGGTTGAAACCCATATAACTATCATCCAGGCACGAAAGTCGAAGAAAACAATTATTTAGTAAACACTTTGCCAATCGCAACACAATGTACTGATATTGATGCACACCAGCGTTGTACGATGCTGATAACAAATCTGCGTAAAGATAAAGCAGTTTGTTCGCTACACCTCGTCGGGTTACCTATCAGGGAATGCCTCTTACAATCGTGTGCTAGAGTGTAGTGTGACGAGTAACTTCCTTAGAGATTTAACATCCTCCTTACTTATGGTCAAATATATAAGGTATGTTCAGAACGCTAAGCGGAGTGTGTTTGAAATTAACCTTTACGTGATACTAGCTGTTACCCACGGGATTCACCCCGTTTGACTTCATAAGTATTAATCAAACTATTGATTGGTTAAGTTAAGCTGAAATAAACAAAACAGAATACAGTAATACAAACAAATAATAAGTACAACTGAGGCATTTTTAACATTAGGTATATGGAAAGTTCTCCTTTAGAAAGGATTCACCCCTAGTATAGGTAGGTGGTTAGATCATTATATTCTTATTGACCTTCACCATCGAGCTTCATAATTATTTTACCTACAATTTTAAGTGAAGAGAACATTTGTATAAATATAAATATTGGTGTAATTTATTAGATTAGATACAAGTTGTTTTGTAAAAAAGGGAATATAAAATCACAGAGATGTAATTTTAGGCCTTTTCTGAGACCTGCATTTTAAGTTTAAACTCTCTGGGTTAGTCACCAACTTTTCTAAAACAGGGTGGTACAATTCTAGCTAGTTATAACCTAGAAATCAACCCTTTACAGTTTCGGATTCTACCATTTTGGTTACTGATAACTGCATAAGAGGACTTTATGTGATGGTGAGTATATAAGTGAAACCATGAAATATATTATCGTTACAAAAGTTATATTAACAAGATTGAATATTATATTATTAGGATCGAACTATTTGCTACGTAGCGGCATTTTAAAGACATCATAAAATCCACAATTATTTAAGGAAATCAGCCTATGGATGATATGTAAACTTCGTTAACGTGTATGGTTTTCGTTCTTAACTACTAACTAGTAATTCATCACTTTTTTATAAAAGCTAATATTAAAAATTCAGTTTTTCTCAAGTAAGCCAATCACATAAAAAAATCTTACATACTAAACGACTATTGCAAAACTTATGACAGTTAGCCTAACCATACTACTGGACCGAATAATACGGGGTGGGTACCAAATGAAAGATATTTATCTGTAGATGTACAGAGTCCCCTTATAAATTAAAATAGGCCCCAAAATAAGCATGAAAAATGAATTTGAAATTCAAAAAAATGTACATGAGCCTTATGGGTTGCCATGTTGGTAACGAAATAACAACAAATAAACAGAAATTCTAAACAAATGGAAGAAATTCCAATCACATGTTTACAGCGTGGGGTAAAGATAGAGAAGTTTGATAAATACATACTTTTGGTCGAGTTTTCGACAACGGGGCGAGCTCTCGTATCAACTAAGACACTATTAATTCACAAACCAAGTCATCGCTAATATAAGGACTACTAAAAAATATTACATAAGGTTTCCCCAAGTAAGCCTAGAACAAGCCTTTAAACACAACTTCAACTGTTAATGTAGTTGGATAAACTCAAAGCAAACATGTTTGTCTTATTCAATCAACGTCCACGTCCAATAAAATTCAATAAACGTCCAAACAAGATGTTTGGCTATTAGTATACGATTCAGGCTAGTATCGTCATTTGATAATATTTTTATGATCTATACCGTTTCTGTTCTAATATCCGTGGAATAATGCTATTGTTTGATCTACTTCCTTCAAAAGTCACCAGCTGATCTTATGCCTTTGTTCATGTGGCAAATACTGCTTCCATAAGAATTACATTGAAACTTTGAGGACCCGTGGGGTGGATTCCTGAGAGATTTTTTTAACGCCATATAGATGTTGATACCGATATGGTCTTTATCACCATGCAAAATTTTAAGACGATTGCTTCAGCCGTCTAGGAGGAGTTTGCGTATTACAACATGCATAAGAGTTTACATATAAGAGGTTCACTCGCTCCGCTCAAAAAGACGATTTATTGACGAAACTATTGGCAATCCTTTTGGTATCATAACTATTGATTGAAACGTTGATTGCCAAATCCACACTAATAGAAGGCAAAGAAAAATTATTTAGCCAAAATCTAAACTCAATAATAACATACTGCAAGTCACGAAACATACGTTAAAACAAGCTTCGTCGTTTAAGAATCTGTCAAATCACTAGAGTGTTTATAACACTGTAAATTAGAGCGCTAAACTTTATAACAAGGAAATAGTTTCAGATGACACGATTCTGTCATTAGCCTGCAGGGAATGAAACTGGGAAACACGTTTTGCTAAAAATAAAATGCTTAATGTGTTCGAAAGTTAAAATCAACTGCCCTGGAAGTTTAATATACCGTACCTATTTCTTTATTGATTGTTTTGGAAAAAAGTTTAGATTATAAAAAGCGGATCAAAATATCAAAGAACTCAAAGCTGTTGTTGCATCTAATGTTTTAAGTAAGTTTAAGTTTATATTAATTTGATTTGTCGGGTTTTGTGTAATGTTGTTTTCGTATCAGTTGTTTTGTAAAGTAGTATTTGTGTCAAGTGTTTTGTGTAATATCATGTTTGTATTTCGTGGTCGGTATGAGGTTTTGTTTGTATTTGATGCCTTGAATGCTCTTGGTGCTCTGTTTAAGTTTATTTTTATGTCAGGTGTTTTGTATAGTTTTTTTGTTTGTGTCTGATGTTTTTTGTAAAGTTGTGATCATGTATGGTATTAGCTGCACGTTTGCATCTGGTGTTCTGTGTAAGAATGTTGTTGTACATGGCGATCTGTTTAATGGTGTGTTGGTATTTGGTGTTATGTATAAAAGGGTTTATTTGTCGTGTTTAATCTATTGCTTGTATTAGGTTGTGTGTGTAATGTCGCGTTTTATCTGGTGTTTGAATAGTTTGCGTGTATCAGATATTGAGAGCTAGTAGTGTTTGTATCTGGTGTCACGTGTAAGGGTGTGTGTATCTAAAACTGCTGTAATATTTTTTATGAGTGTGCATGTGTCTGTCGTTGAGACATTCGGAAACCGAGTTTCGTTTCGGAATTTCTCAGCAAGTGATGTACAAACATTCGTACCACTCTTTATGATTGTTTCTCACAGCTCGACGAAGTCCATTTCTCTCTTGTGTACTAAAGTCTCTTATCAACCTGGCTGTTGACCATTTCATCTTTCCCACTGCAGCATGCTGTCGGTGGTCCTGACGGCGGTCTCCGCGACTCTCACCTACAGTCTGGTGGTGCTGGTCGGTCTGCTGCTGTGGTTCCAGTGGAGACACAGGGACCTCATCAGGGCAGCCTACAGTATGCCCACGGTGCTGCCCACTCTGCCCATCATCGGGCACGCGCATCTCACCATCATGGGCTTGGATAGTGAGTATGAGGGCCCTCATCATTTTCCAAAGCAATGGATCAACACTTGACTCTCAATGAATTGACAATCTCCTAGTTATATTATTGACCAGCTAGGGTCAGAAACTGTTATGCAAGATTTACAATTTGTATTAGTAAAACCTATGGTAAAACTTAATGGTCGTTTAAAGGTTATTGTAACAGAAAAACACTAAGTGGTACTTGCATCAAAATGAGGATTTTTATACTATTTATTACGCTTTTGGAAATAGTTCACTGCAAGAGATTTTTACTAAGCTTAGTAGGGGTTATATATGGCAATTAACGAAATAAAAATGTTTAATATTAAATGGTTAAGCTAGGTACTTACTCTCAATTAAAAGCCAGAAGAACGCGGTCTTACCAGTGAGGATTTTTGTTCCAGTTGGCCTTTCGACATATTTTCTATCATTGCAATGTTAAATTATCGGCATCAGTTGCTACCTCCTATCTTCTCACATTAACCTAATCTACTTTTACAATGAATTATGATAATACAATAAGAATTTCCATATCTAAATTTAGTACAGATCAAATCGATTAAAATCCAAAATCTCCCGATTATTGTGCTACAAGGTTCATACATGTTGTTCATACATTAACAATTGTAGGTTTAACCCTTGTAACCTGTGTTATAGAGATGACTGAAGCCGCTCTCCAGTTCTCCAGGCAGGCTGTAGCCAAGGGTATCAGCATCGCTTGCTTCTGGTGCGGACCTCTGCCGGTGTTCGTGGTCCACGGTCTGGAGGATATCCAGGTAAAGTTGTAACGTGACGAATTTTTAAAATACAAATTTGAAATTAAAAGAATAAGATTTAATTGTGTGTGAAGTTAGACTATTTTAACTAACTTCAAATATCTGTGAAGTCCAAAAACATACAGAATAACCTTGCACTGTAATTAGTTGTCACGGTTCTCTGGTTCTGTGTGGTTTATTTATAAACAATATATCCTGAGGAACGTCTATAACGTCTAAGTTTTATCCTATTATTGATCATCATATTGATCATCGAGTTTTATTATAGTCCTGATTAATGAATAAGTGGGTTTTATTTTGCATTGAAGATTTTTGTAATTAAAAACAATCCATCGGTTATGTATCAACAACTAATAATTATATACTGATCTAGTGTTTGTTTTCAGACAGTTTTGAAATGTTCTCACGTCCTACACAAACCTACCGAGCTGACGTGCCTGGAGAAGTTCTTCGGGTTTGGTCTTCTCACAGCACCGGGTAAGAATTCAAATGTAATTCAATAACTTGAATATAATTATGTTTCAATCTGAATAACTAATGAACAACAAAATTTAACAGAACATGCTAAAGAAAGTCGACCAAAGTTTTTAAAGTCAGTTTATTTTATTGTCCTGTGTGTTTTTTTTTTGGGGGGGGGGGGGTAGGCCACAATGTTAACATAAATAAATGTAAACCCCATTTAAATACATAGTTATGTTAAAAATAATTAACTAATAACTTTTGACAGTCGAGCACACTTAAAAGACTGAATAATGAAATTTTGTTTACTCCTAACGTCTTGCAGTAATAATCAACTTAAATGTCTGTATATATATTAGAAAATAATATAAACAGTCTTTTCAGGGAAATTTTACCAATTACTGAATGATATACATTAAAATAATGATATAGATTAATGATATAGATTAATGATATAGATTATATTATATAAAAAAATATAATAAATATATATTTTTCCTTATATTCAGTGGAAGTGTGGAAGGTCACCCGGCGCTACTTGAACCACCTGTTCCACCCCCGTAACCTGGATCAGATGATGCCTACTTTCAACAGGAACAGCCAGGAGTTGGTGGGCGAGCTTTGCAGACACGAAGGGAACAGTCAGGTGGACGTGCAGAGCTATACCATGCACACTGCACTCAAAACTGTTTGCCGTACGTACATTACGATTTTTTTTATATTACGTAGGTTTAAATGAAATAAATTTTGACAAAATTAATGGTTAACCGAAAGAACAGACAGTTAGAGCATTTGCAAGTTTTTTATGTTACTATAAATGTGTGAATCTGATTGTTTATTCGACGATTTTGGGCAGTTAAACCGGTTTGACATATGGTGTTTGTGTATAGTAAGTAGTATACGACAGTTATAAGAGAATAATAACTATTTGATAATGACATGATTTTTGTTAAACTGTACTAGGCCGATCACAGTATATGAGATGAATATAATGAATTAAATTTAATGAAAAATTATGCCTAATTGAAAATAGTTTTTAGTTGTGATAAAACAGTAATTTATGTTACAGATTTGGTCTTTGGACCAGACGTCGAGTTTGACACCAAGTCAGAGAGCTTTGAAGGACTCATGAAGGTGGTAGAGAGGTAACCACAGTATACAGCTTGAGTTATATTTGACATTTTACTTTATTTAGTTAGATATTTGTTTAAACAAAACAAAATTACTATCGTAATTCACTTTTACTACTGCTATTTTCATGTAAACGCCCTACTCCATATTCCAGGATTCCTCATTTCTTCACCATCCGTGCAGTGAGGCCATGGCTCCGTATAGACACCCTGTTCTACTTCCTTTACCAAAGGGATCTAGAGGAGGTGGATCGTTTATACAAGAACTTTACTGAAGCTCCTCTCAAGGTGTGGTAGACGAGGATAATTTCCGAGCTTATGTTGTTGGTTATTTTGGATCTTTGGGTAAAACTAATTTTAATTTACTATCTTGAGGCATCTTGAGGGCATTAGGTACGAAAATGTTTAAAAATTTTAAGCAACTATATTAAAATATTTCTTCCAGTTCTCACTATGTCAGGAGAATTTATAACATAACAGGGCAATGTCACGGTATATAAAAAACTATAGCTAATAATTGAAATATCTGCAGACTACACACATAACACATAACATATAGCAAGGTAGGAGCTACGTGAACCTTGAGGTACCTAAAAGTAGGTTTCCTTCCTTCCGAATACATAGTTAAAGTTTTATGAAATTACGTTTCTAATAATGTACCTCTTTAACCTAATTGAATTTTTGCATAAATTATAAAATGAGCAAGATATCGTGTCAAAAAATTACATATTTTTGTTTGTCGTTCTTATCAAACGATACTCTTGTAATTTTTTAAATCACTTATAATTATTGTTTATGGTAAAAGTATATATTTTTAGGAGACGAGAGTGAAGAACGAATTGAAGAATAAACTAGCTGAACAAGAGAGTGCGGACGGCAAAGTTTCGTTTACAGGTATGTTAAGGCTTCTTTCACACCAGCGCGGTGCGGCACCGTCCCCCACCGTCGATGCGGGATGACCCGCAAGGCCCTTTCACACTATTATTGCTGCCCGAATCCGGGGGTTTCCAGGCTGAAACTTTGTGATTTTTGGATGTATTTTATTCAAATAAATACAAGAAAGGTGGTTATGCTACTTGTTGTACCCGAAAATAAAATACAGTGCCCCTTGCTAAATAGCTTAATTGGATCGATGCCGTGTGTGTAAAAATGTCAATTCATTGTATTTTTAAAAGTAATGGTGACAGCTGTGGGGTATCAGATCTTAAACTTCTGTATAATGTCCACATGTAAGTGCTCGTTAAACCGTCCTACTGGCCTTCAAACAAACCAAAATATAAAGCTTGACCAAACTAATCAGATCTATATAAATTTCTACCTCCATACCAAAAACAACTAACTTCCATATTAAGTTATCAAGAGTACTACAAAATCAACCACACTCAACCACTGATAGGCATAGACTGTCAAAACTACTGATTTATGTGCGGGCGAAACCAGCCCGTCCAGCGTAAGTGTGAAAAGGTACATAAGAGCCCATGATCTAAAAACTATTCATGCGGTTTCGTCCCGCATTGGAAGTTTAGGTTCGTGCGGGTGATTTTTCAACCCGGACAGAGGTTTAGGTCTGTCCGGGTCGGTCCGGGTCATCCTGCACTGGTGTGAAAGCTCCCATATGATTCAATAGTCTAAACAGCTTCGTCCGGTGCGGGACGGATGTGGCATTGCGCTGGTGTGAAAGAAGGCTTAGTGATCAAGACATTGTTACTGGTTTAAATATATTTAACTGATATTTACAGTCTTTCCTAGTTTGATAAAAATTAATATTTAATCTATTTCAAAATAACAATGTTAAGCTACCAAATATATTCTTTCTTTTTTAACATTTCAGATAAAACGAAACATAATATGAGGTTTGTGTCTTTAACATTATTTAGTGCCTTTCAAAACTAAATACTGGATCCAAGTTATTACCTAGAATTGGACTAGTTAGTGATGGAAATTTTCCCAATAATCCTCCAGACATACTCAATACAATACATGCTCACGAGCTCCAAAAAATAAATTTAATCAAGATAGAAAAGAGTTTTAAAACTTGTACATATTTCCAGGCCCTAAGAACTTGGTAGAGGTTTACGCTACGATGCAGAAGAACTTTCCCCAGTTCACAGAAGAACACCTAAAGACAGAGATGGTTACAATGTACGGCACGGTAAGTTATACAACTGCTAGTTTTCTTGTTACACAAGTTTGTATACAAATATATCATGCATTTACTCAAAACAAACAAAAAAAGGTAAAGTAGACCTTCCGTACGATGGTCATTGTCCTTTGTAGGGTCTGACTTAGGAAACAGCTGATTTGAACGAAGCTATGCATGTCTTCTACAGTATTTACGTTAGAAGACACATTTTCTCCCATCAGTTTATAGCATTAGAATGCGAAACAACAAAACTGCATGGGAAAGAAACTGAATAATAAAAGGTGAGCTTTGAAGTTTAAAGTTAAAGCCATGTCATGAATATTAAATGCTTTTTCAGGGTACGGACACGACTGGCACGGCCCTAGCATCCTGTCTGCTGACTCTTGCACAGTATCAGGATATACAGGTAAATCATAATTTGTTAACCAATTTTAGAAATAATATTTAAATTAATTATAGTGTACTTTCCCTGTACCATACCCCACATAGTCTAGTGGTGTTTCTAGACGGATGCATGTTTTTTTTTTTTATTTTACAGAATGTATTTTGGTAAAGGGAAATAACAGTTCTACAGAAATGTACCGGCGACGATTTATTTCTTATAGTATGGTATATTCCTGTATTTGCATTCAAAAGATGTATAAATACATAAGGCACGCAGTTAAAAATATTTATTTTTTAATTATTGCAATTTAAAAATTTTGCTTGAGTCACATAAATATATTATATAGAATTTACCTTGTCAAATAAAATGTGCCACTAATCTAAGAAAAATTAATGTTCATAAAACCCTTTATTTACATTTTTGGGTAAAAAGTTTCCAAATTTAAATTTGTAAAATATTTAAAAAGTATTTTATCTTCTTCACAGGAGCGCCTCTACCAAGAGATTATCTCTGTAGTGGGGACAGACAGTGACGTCACAGCCAAAGACCTACAGAGCATGACCTATCTGGATCAGGTGTACAAGGAGACTCTGAGGTGGTTCACCATATCACACTTTGCTCTCAGGAAAACCAGCGAAGACATCAAACTGAGTGAGTGAAAATACTTACAAGCAAACACTTGTTTGAGCAAAACTACGGATGAGAAAACATTGTTCAAACAAGTACAACAATGTATAATACATTGTTGTATACGTTTGAATAAGAAAACAAAGAAATGTGTACAACCATTGCTATTGGGCATGGGGACACTTTTTACTTGATAAGCAACCAAACCAACTACCAAACTAACCAACCAACCAACCAACACCAATCAATGCTATAAACCATTGTACCAATGCTGCTCGCAATGGTTGGCAACTAACCATTAATAAGCAATTGAGGGTAATTTTACAACCATTGATATCAAAGAAATGTTTATACAGGATGGCCATTCATAACCAAACACATGAGTAAATGTGTAAAACCACTCTCCAACCATTAAATAAACTTTAGTATATTGCCAACCAAATTAAGTGGCCTACTTTGAAAACCCTCATAACATTTAAAAATTCAATATTTAGTGCAAATACAGATGAGGGCAGTACAATATATAATTTTCCGATGAAAATCATTTGTTTATGTAACTCAGGTTGTGTTTGGATTTCTTTCACCATCTTCACTTCACTACAATACAATTAATTGTTTGTTGAAGTTTTCTCTGCTAAACTTGCAGTCATTCCCAGTCCGTCATTCCCAGTTTATATCCATTTTGCTTAGTGATTTAACGTCACAATATTATGTCTGAAAGAATGTTTACAGCTTTATAACAACTTTGTTTACTCTTGTATTTCAGGTTCGTGCACCATCCCAGCGAACAACACTGTCTGTATTTCCCTTGGAGGTCTCCTGATGAACCCTCATATTTTTCAGAATCCTGAAAAGTTTGATCCCGATAGGTTCTCACCGAAGAATGCATTTGGGAAAGAAAGATTTGCATTCTTACCATTCAGTGGAGGTCCCCGAAATTGTATAGGTAAGCTCAAAACTATTTATTAGTTTTTTATATTTCCTATTCATTTTACTTACGTTTTACATGATTTTAAAAGAAAACTAACTACAAATAGGAAAATAAATAAAAATAACTCCGTTTTGATGAATAGCGAGGCATTATTATTTTAATAACATTCGCCGTTCTTTTGAGGTGAATCGATACTCTACACATCGTATGATTAACATAGTTAAATAATAATAAAAGAATATTGTACCAGCGCCAAGTGAGAAGAGCCATTCTTATCTCAATCAACGGGGTCTATTACTTCTATCGGATGTATTACAACGGGGTCTACTATACATCATTGGAATGAATAAAAGATGCCACGCAGATTTGTGAATTTCAGTCAGCTGTTCAAGGGAGGTGTGTGTAGTATACCAGCTGAAAATTTGCTATCGTATGTAAAAAAATAATGTGTTATACATACAGATAAAGAAAAAAAATACGGTACTCCTTTTGAAGGTAATTTAAGACACAAGCGCTGAGCAATGTTGCCTACCTTGTGTTATGCAAATAATTTTAGTTTGTAGGTAAACAAGAGGGCATTGCTCATTTAGGTTGAGCTCTTAATTCTTCTACTGAAAACGTACAAAGTAAAAGTATTGAAAGTTAAAATAGGAGAGACAATTATTTGTCCTGATGAAAGAGGTTCTTAAACCTTATCAAACTTTATACTTTTAAGTTTATAATTAATTTGACAAGACAATTTCAAAGAATGCTGTAACTCCTAACTAACCAATTACTTTCAGGCCAGATGTACGCAAACATGTTGATAAAGGTGGCGATAATCCACGTGATGAGGAGGTTCAAGTTGTCCACAGACATGAACATTCACACGATGAAGAGAGTTCTGTCAGTTCTGCTCGTGAGCACGGAGGGCTACAATATCAAGTTTGAGAGGAGACGTTGAGCACAGCATCACTAGTATAGGGTTCAAGCTTTACATTACAGTACAATTGTTAGGCTTAGTTAGTTTAGTAAAAATTTAATAATAAATGTCTTGTAGTGAATAGTTTGCTGAATTGTTTTATTGCAATATGCAGCCTTTCCAAAACAATATTGGTGATTTACTTAAGCTCCTAGAGGAAGTTTATGTCCTGGGTATACACTCTCCACGGGTGCTTCAGGAGAATGTTTGAAATTGTTCCGGGATAGTGCTCAGTATCCATGTGGAAAGTGTTGTTCTGGACTGCCAGTATATTCCCTTTAGCCTTCAAATTACCTTAACTATTTCATATATCTGTATCTTCTACAGCACGTTTTACTTGTGCCTTGGTCTACCTCTTCTATTAAAGATTTCACTCGAAGATGTGTCTTTTTTAGTGTCTACGCCAGTGGCATTTTAAGTTAAGAATAAACTAAACTCCAGATTTTACATTGAGAAGTCTACCTGCAGTATCCAATGCTAATGTCAGTAGACTTGTTGTTGTAGTAAATTAAGTATTCTTTAGTGTATAGCAAACTGAAAGCGAAGTTTGGATAGTTTGGAATGTAAACAAAATTGTGAAAGTTCTCATCAACGTACGGTAGCGGACGAATACAAACACGAGTGACTAGCAAAAATAGTTCCGTGTGATAACAACATTCCATAACAGTGTGATGAAGTTGTGACATGGTTTGATTTTGTGTTTTAAACTGGGTTATAAGGACCAGGTTTAGTCTAATAAATTTATTGTTATTGTTTTAGTCTTTCATATAATACAAATGTCTCATATTTTACTTCAATTCACTAAAACATCAACAACCGTAACGATAACACAATTTTGGTATGGATGTAAACAATATTTTATCATGGCCGTCTGTTTTTATGTAAAAATATGTAAACTTGAAAAAGGTTATTTGTAATGATTGTGGTTTTCTTTGAAGGTTATTTTACTATCATACGATTCTCCTTGTGGTCTCATTTTTTGGTTTGCCAGCTTTAACAGGTTTTACATACTGGTTTTGTTTTACTATGTTTTAGGGAATTTTTTAACAGAATTCTAAATTTCAAAATGACGCAAACACTTGTAACTAATCAAGAGAAGATGGCCGCAATAAACCCTAAAATTGAACAACCTCTCATCACAAAAAATAAACTTCAATCTAAGTACAAAATCTAGGTGACGAGAGGCCTCGCTACTGTAAAAGTCATACTACAATGTTTTGAATTTATCTACAAATTAAAAGCCACAACAACCAGGATGTTCATTTTATAGGCGCCAGCACACGTAGTTTATTTGCAATTCAGAGCAGTTTATGAATCCATAGACGGCCGTCAGTAAGACATCATCTCCTACACAATAGATGCGCGGTCATGAGACTACCGAGCTTTATAGCCGCACCGTGTCAATAGCAAACTGCATACAATTATTGTCAGGCCATAAACTAACATGGATCAAGACAGCGAATTTCACACTGGCCCGTAGGCCGGCACAAAGGATCCTGGCATGAACAGTGGTGGCCAAGCTTTGCATAGTGAATACAACATGTTAGGTAAGAATGTATTATTGTAGATGTAGTTTGTGTTAACTGAAGTTACGTTAATTATAGTCGAACCTCGTTATAGGCTTTGTTTACTTCGTTTAATAATGTAGGCCTACCCAGTGTTAATGTACTTACACATGCTTTTGCACTTGACCTGTTTTGCATACATCTGACTGCACTATTATTATTGTCTTGCGTTTGATCTCACGCTGTAATGAGGTGGTAGAGAGTTATGACAAAGTAGTTCTAGCCATCATTCAAACCCGTCAACATCTTAAAAGAATCAAACAACACCAAAATTGTAGTTAAATAGTTTTATGTCAGTTGTAATACGTGTCCCAGTATTAAAACAGATAGTTTTCAAACGTACTGATTTAGTCATTCATTCTAATTCAAACACTTATGAGATATATAGTAGTTTTTTGTACCCTTAGCTAAGCTATATTTATTTCAAATGTTAACGATATTAATTTTAACCTGTTAACCATATTTATTTCATTTAGTAAACAAATCAATGTACTAATAAATATGTTTAATGACCCTCTATTATTAATATTTTATATTTCATAAGACTGCCTGAGTACACAAGAAAAACTAAGGTCCTACCTAATGAGAAGTAAATTTTAACCATGGATTTTCTGGGTTCAATACGTATATACTTACAATTTTTCAGTATAAAAACCAAGCTAAGTTATTTAATGTAATAATGGGAATCCACGTCAAGTAACTAATAATCAACATTAATAATATATCTAAGTCAAAAATACATAGAACTTATCAAACACGAATTGATTAAATAGCAAGGGGATTGGAAATACAAATGCATGATATTCTCAATACGTACGACTGTTGTATTACGGTCGAAAGAAACGCACTTAAATGAGATTTAAACACGAACCAAGGACGTTAAATAGTATTTTTACCAAAACAATGAGAAATTGTGATCAAGAAATACAAGCACCATAAATAACTGTGTACATTCTAAAACTAAAAATTAATGTAAATAAAAAAAAACATTACTCTACTTTCATCTAAATAGAGAGGCCATTGCCCAATATTTTAGAGCTTTCTTAAGATATATCTTTCTAGAAAACGTAGATTAGGATGGATATCTTAGGGGGAAACACGTTTTGTATTGGAGAACTAATCTAATTGAGTAAAACAGTAAAAGCTCAACCAAAATCAAAAATATTTTTTAACTATAGAATCAAAATAAAGTAGTTGAGTAAATTTACAACAGTTACGTTTTGAAAAGGGAACCACATAAACTCTCAACAGTTAAATTCTGACAAACGCAGTTAGTTAAATGGACCCATTCATTCATTCGTCACAAGGTTCAAATATGCGAGTTTGTTGACAATGGGGTCAGTGGGTGTGAGTTATGATGAACTTCTTGGTTCTAATTAGAGGCAGTTGACGCCCAATTATGCGATGACTGGCGAAAACTGACTTGAGTGATTATATTGTCACTGTCTATTGATGACTGAGCTCTGTCAGTCTGTAAATCTGCCTGTGGGCTTAGGAATGCCAGCCTAGCTGAGGAGACTACATCTCGTAATATGGTTCATCTCTCACCATTGACTTTAGATATTGCTTGTAACAAAAAATCTCACTTAATCTAAAAATTTATTACGATGATTTATTTGTTGAACATGCAATATATTAAAATTGTTTACCAATTATATAATTGTTATTTTTATTTGTGTTTCCACGTCATAAGTGATTTTGATTTTACATTTTTGATAAGGGAATGGTCCAAACCCTCCTCTTGTTCTTTGGCAAGAAGAATTTGATTTATACAAAATTAAAAGTTATGTAATATAGAAGCTATATTATTTCTGGCATTAGAAGTGTTTTAGTTAAGTTACCATGCACTTTTCACCACTCTACGATCTTTTTAGCTGTTTTATAAACGTTAATTGGAGGCTGAAAGCTACGAATTGCTGTCCATGCCTGCTTTCATCGTCATTTGGGGACCGAGCAGGTTTTTGTGGCCATAGGGCCAAAAATCAGCTGTTCGCTTATTTGCTTAAAACATAATGTATATTTTATGCACAAGCTGTATACATGCGCATTCAATAGACTTGTTTTATTGCCACCACTGCTTAGCAACTATTTGTAATTATTTTTGCTAATTCCGCTAAATATTTTTTCACATAACCTTAAAGTGGCAGCTGTGTTGACTGTTAGTGTGCATATCGAAACGGCACACGGAAGATTTCTCAGGTGCCGTTTGACGTCACTAACTGCTGACGTCAGTCGAGGGAACACTATTACCGCAACGATACAGTATTGAACCATCGGCCTCAGTGGTGTAGTGGCTAGCGTGTCGGGCCGATAATTCGAAAGATCCGGGTTCGAATCCCGCTGGTAGCATTAACTTTGTGTCAACATTTTTTTCATATCAGCAAGTTTGGTTAGTTTGGTTAGGTTATGACAGTTTAATTTTATAATTAAAAATTAAATCAAATGAAATTAAAAAATTATAAAGTTGAATTTTAGGCATTTATAATTTTATTTTATGAACAAAACTATTTTTTAGATTAGTAAACCTTCATTCGATTTTTTCATTATCAGCACGTTTGGTTAGGTTATGACAGTTTAATTTAATAATAGAAAAATTATAAAATTGTCTGTTTCTTTAGACGCAGCAGTTAGTGACGTCAAACGGCACCTGAGAAATCTTCCGTGTGCCCCACCTGTGCATATTGTATTATAGTTTCTCAATTTTGTATAGTGTTGTGAAAAATAGCGTTCGTACCACGGCCCGAAAGGGTTTTGCAGCTCTCGATCGTTTCAAATTCTCGAACTTCAAAAAATTATCTCGAGTCAGCAAAACTTAATTTTCTACCCTAGGTTCGAAATATACTATTTCACCACACTAAGATGTTTTCAGCCGTTTTACAAACGTTTATTGGAGGCCGATAGCTCCCTTTTGCGGGCCGAGCAGGTTTATTTACATATCTAGGGCCGAAAATCAGCTGTTCGCTTACTTGTTTAAAACATTAATGCATATGCACAATCAGAATCGATAGTATTGCAATAGACTTGTTTTATTGTCACCGCTGCCTAACAACTATTTATTAGAAATTTTGCTGATTCCTCAAGCTTCTTCACATAGCCTTTAAGTTGTAGTTGTGTTGACCGTTAGTGTGCATCATTATTGTGGCGAATAGTGGTTATCGGGTATAGTGTGGTGAAAAATAGGGGACCGTGTTATGCATGACTACAGAGGGGTTGTGGCATCACATCAAAAGCCAGAGGTGGGATTAGAACCCGGAACCTCGGGGACCGAAACCTTGCTCTCTACAAGTAGACCAGCTCGCTCTCCTCGCTCTCCACAGATCCGCAGGTTAGAAACAAGCATGATACATATCTGTTTAGCTAATACCTATGTATAAACCATTAATGTACGCTGATAATACAGAATAACATTATTAATGTGTATTGCCCAACAACACTGCCTAAAGC